AGGGCAGTGGGGTGGAATGGGAGATGGGGCGAGGGGCTGGAGGTAACTGTTGGGAGAAGTGGGGGTTGGAGGAGTGTAGGGGTGAGGATCAGCAAGTGAGGTGTGGGGTGTGGTTTGGGAAGGGTCTAGGGGGATCTTCTAAGAAGAGATCGGAAATGTTGTGGGGTCACTGGTATGTGGATGGGAGGTGTTGGGCGTGGGCTAAAATTTGGGAAGACTATGGGGGTAGGGGTGGGTCAGGATAGGGGTGAGGTGGTCTGGAGAGGTATGGGCAGCATGAGGTCACTTTCCCCTCCCACATTTAATCCACTGTGTCCTTGGCTGAGCTACACACATTGCCTCTTCTCTGTGCCAGTCTCGTCCCAGAAGCCCAATGCTCACATTACTGGGCAATGAAATTCTGTGGATTTAAAGGCTCCTCCCCAGGGGAGGCTTTACCATGGTTCCCAGGTGGCCACGTCTTGACTGCCTCCCACTTCCTCCCCACCCCCACCCCTGCCCCAGCCCCAGCATGCCCCAGGGCACCTTCTTTGCCCCTGAGAACCCTGGGTCAGGAGGCCAACTGTGGGGCTCAACTCCCGGCCTGCGAGCTTGGGTGACAACAGGGACCACTGCCAACTTAGAGCATCTGCCCTTTGCCCAGTGACCTGAGCTGCCTGCTCTCAGCATCAGTGTTAGCCCAGGAGTCCTGCTTGGCAGGAAGGCTGTGGCAGGTGGGAGGAGAAAGGAAGGCAGCGAGGCATAAACAGCTGCCAGCCGGAGTGGAGGAAGAGCAAGGCCCCAACGGGTACGGGCAGAAGGCAAGGCACTGGCTCTGCTGGCAGTCCCCCCCTCCTCTGTGTGGAGGTGTCAGCCCCCTCACCGCCCCCTCCCATCCAGTGCCACTGTTCAGGGAGCAGGCTCTGCTCATGGGCCTAAACCCTGCGCTGAAGCAGTCCTCAGAGGTTACCTGTTCAGCTCCTCCCATAACCCGGAGTGAGAGTTGCCTCCACAGCATTTCCTCCAAGGGTCTGCCTGAGTCAGACCAAGACGTTTGCGGAGAGCAGAAGCTCACTTCCTCCCAGGGCAGTCTGTTCCCTCTTTGGCAGGGAAAAAGCTGCTAACTGAGCCACTCCGATGTGCCAGGCCTAGGTCCTGTGTAGACTTGTCAGTAATGATGACCTCACAGGGCTCGTATGATGAATTAGCTCCAGTTTACAGATGAGCAAAGTGAGGCTCAGAGAGTCAAAGGACCTAGCTCAAGGTCACACAGCAAGGGATAGATAAAAGAGCTGGGTCTGACCCCAGGACTGTTGAACTACTAAGTCCCTATGGGGCTTAGCAGGACCTGCTTCTTCTGCACCATGACAACTCTCCTGCGGTTTGAAGTCAGAGTCCTGAGTCGTCTCTTCTCCTGGTGAAACAGCTCCTTCCACTCTGTCCAGGAGAACCTGGGTTCCAGCCTCCTCCCCACCTGTTCAGTGTGAGATCCAGAATGAAATGGACAGTCTGCCATGTGGGTTCGGGTCTGTCTAGAACAGAGTAGAATTGTCATATCTTTTCTCGGTATCAACCTTTACTTCTGTGGCCTGATGGCCGGTAAGAGAGCGAACTGTCCTTCTCTTGGTCTTTTATCCCTTCTCGGATCAGAACCATGAGAGAAGTAGGCAGTGTTTTGTTTTCATTTCCACCACTCCCCTAGTCACACTGTCCTAAATTTGGAGCCAGAGAGGGGCAGAGGTGGGGGAAGAGGGGATAGGAACCAGGCAGGGGTGCAGCAGGGCTGGGAAGATGGAGAGCTGTGTGTGTGTGGGGTGGGGGGGGTGAGGTGGCTGTCTGGCAGGGCTGGAAGGGAGGGCCAAGGGGAGGGGGAGGTGAGGGCTTGGGGATTGTGTGCACAGGGAGATAAGGGCTGGGGTGGCCTGGGGTTGCAGGAGGCCAGGGTGGGGATGGGCATTGGCCAGCCTAACTTAACATCCCCTGCTGTGCGAGAGGAAGTAAGTCGCACATTAAGGAAATGTTGCAGCTGGTACTAAATTGGGAGGTGTCACAGGCAGCAGTGAGGACAGGTATATGATTCGTGGGGCCCCGCATGGCCGAAACAGGGACAGATGCTGCTGAGGGAGAGAACAGGGTTTTTGGAGCTGCCCAGGAAAGATCTGACTGAGACACTTAGGACAGGGCCCCAGGGCTGGGGGTCACCTGGGCCTGGAGCAGAGGCTCCAAGCTTGGTTTCCAGAAATAGAGGAAGACTCCTCATCCTGGCCTGGGCTATGGGCTCTCCACCGGGTGGGGGGGCAGTTTAGGGGGGGAAGCTTTGTGGATGAGGTGTCATCTCCAAGGGATCCCCTCTAGGGTAGAGGCTAAACAGGAAAGGGCTTGGAGCCTGGGGGCAGGTATGGAAATGGGCAAAGAGTACTGGGATAGAGGTGGGGTGAAGGGAGAGGGGCTGCAGCTAGGAGCAGAGCAGGGCTTCCTTTCCCCTCTGTGCCCATAATACAGCTGGAATCCAGAGTCCTGTGGGTCTAGGCCTCGGTAGAGGGGGTGGGCACCGGAGAGGAGTGGGAGACACCAGGAGGAAGCAGGCACTGCCCTTCTCCCAGCACAGCTGGCAGCAAGAGAGCAGGCAGAGTTCACTTGAGAGGGGGAGCAAAAGAGTGACAGCGACAGCAACAGCGGCAAGGAGACAAAGGAGAGCAGGGAGGGCCCTAGCCATGGGGAGCTTGATGGGAGGCTACGGCAAAAGCAGGCCTCTGCTCCTCTGCAGAACACACTGGTTGGAAGCCTGGCGCTCCCGCTCATTGGCTCAGCGGCCTCAGGGCAAACTGCTTGATCCCCCTGCACCTCAGTTTCCTCATCTGTAAAATGGGGATAATAGCGCTGGTATTGCCACCCTCCCTGGGCAGTTGTGATCTCATCAGATCTCTGACAGAGGTTACAACCTTAAGCATAATGTCAACGTCAGGTGTCATATTATTACTGCAAAATGCTATCCGCTATCTCTTCCCACTGATATCTCACAGAAGACTCAGGATGTGGGCAGAGCCAGGATCATGGGTTCCATGTTACAAATGAGGAAATGGAAGCTTAGGGAAGTGAAGTGATGTGCCCAAGGTCACACCACTAACAAGTGGTAGAGGTGATGAGGCCTCCTGAATCCAAGACATCAGTTTGTCTTTCTCCTCCATCAAAGCACTTGGTAAAAATAATTAATACAGGGGATTATTATTGAGTGTGGGATTGGACGGAGCCTGGAGCCAACTACAATGGGGGTGGGGGGAACCCATGGGAAAGTTGTGGTGTGGTCTCTCAAGTCATCCTGGTGGCCGAAGGGAAGGAAGATGATCAGGGCCCGGGGACTGGAGGGAGGGCCACAGAGAGCGACATCCTTTATTACGTATGCCATGGACCACATCCCTCTGTTCTCACTGAGTGTGTATCTGTGACTGACATCGAGGGTGTGTGTGTCTGTCTCTATGACAAAATGTGTCCTTCTTCATGTGACAGTTCTTCCGCCTCGCCTGCCTGTGTGTCTCTGGCATCGGAGAGAGATAATGCGTGTGTGTGACAGGGTGTCTGCCTCTCTGGCACTGTTTGTGGGTGTGACGACCTCTCTCTATCCCTGCATGACTTTGCCTGGGGTGGCGGTGGTGGTGTATGGCAGTGTGTGTTTGTCTATCCGTCTGTACACCTTTAAGAAGTGGAATATCTCATTTGGTAGTGTGAGTGAGGCAGTGAGTCAGCTGAGGCTGAGGGAGGCGGGAGGGAGACTGCTAGGTTACGAGAACAGGAAAAAGGAGAATGAGAAAGTGAAGTCAGGAGCAAGGAGCTACCCCTTCCCTCCCCAACCCCCTGCCCAAATCCTTAAGGAGCTCACCAGGAGCATGGCACCCTGAAGAAGTCCACAGCGGGCACGTTAGTTGGAAAGGGGCACTTTCTGCCCCTCCCCAAGGCCTCAGAAGGAGACAAGCTCTGCTAGGAGTCACTGTCTCCCTCTCCCGCTCTCAGCCCCCAGCTCCAGGATGAGTGAGGCCACCACCCCACCTGGTCTCCTCAGCACTTGACACTTTGACCTTGCATTTCTCTTTTCTCCCAAAGGCAGGCCACCCGGGCCAAGCTGAGCAAGCAGAGCAGTAGCAACACATCCCAAATGTTTACAGTAGCCATGCACCTATTGTCCAGAATGACCCTGCCGAGGGTCAAGAAGTTTCTCCATACCCAGCTCTGCCCTAGGCAGGCCCCTCCTGCAGTGGCCTCCCCTCTCCTCTGGATGCCTGTACCCGGCAGCCAGACAGCCAGCTTTCCCTCCACTGGTGCCCCAGTGTGCTGGGAAGGAACTGGGAGTTTTGTAATGCTGCAACCCCCAGTGGCCCTCCCACGAGCCACTGTGCCCTGTTCCCCAGCTCCTTTTATTGGGGAAGAGGAGCTGGCAGGTTCCCTCCTTTGGAGAAGACAGGCACCCCTGGTCTCCACCTCAGGTCATATAAGGTCAACAGAGCCAAGTGCCCCACCAACAGGAATGCCTCTCCTCTCACCCACTGGCAGGGGCCAAAGGGTGAGGGTTAGTTTGCCAAATATTTTTCCTTCCCCCCTTCGGCCTTCCCCTTGCACCAGTCACTAGACCCAGGACTTTCAATGCTGGCTCCTCAGAAAGGAAGGGGCCCGGCTGGCTGCGGAGGGAAGCTGGAGGTTGCCAGATCCCTCTTTCCACCCCTTTGTCCGTGACCCCTCCCTCCTAGTGCAGGGGCGGGGCACCAGGAAGCCCCAGTCCGAAGGTGCCCAAAACCCGGGGTTGATAGAAGTTGGCCAGGTGGTTTGACTGACCTGAATCTCTGAGGCACCCCTCTCTGGGGAGGGTCCCAAGGTAGCATTCGTAGTGCCCTACTGTGAACGGTGGGGGTGATGGGAGGAGGTGAGGTGTATAGAGGGTGGGGGGAGACCTCCTTTTGTCTCTGGGTCCCACCGCCACCGCTCCCGCCGCCACCGAGGGAGGTGGTTTGCCCGCGGACGCCAGTCCCTACCTTACAGCCTTTCGTGCAGGACCGGATTGAGTACTCTTCTGCCTGTAAGTATTTATGCAGCACGAGGTCGAACTCGTCATATTTTTCCTGAGCATGTCGGTCGAGCCGCTGGTACGCCTCGATACAGTTGTTACACACCTCCCAGGCCCCGGAGCCCGGGCTGGCCACCACGGCCAGCAGGTCCCCCAGCAAGGTGTCCAGGCTGCAGTCCAGGCTGTCGGGGCGGTCCATGCCCAGCAGCAAGTCCCAGACCGTGTAGGTGTCGCAAAAGGAGAGAGTGAAGTTCCGAAAGTGGCCTTTGAGCAAGTTTTTTTTGGCGGAGGGGAACTCGGCCGGGGCACGGGAAGGGGAGTCAGGGGGTCGCAGTGGGGGGGCCGGGGTAGTCGGTTCAAAAAGTCTCTGCAAAGATTGCAATTTGGTGCAAGCTGCGTCCAGCCCCGTGGGCTCTGGGACGCCACCGCAGTCCGGCCTGGGACCGGCAGCGGGGGTGGCTTTGGTCAGGTTGCTGTATTGGGGGCCGCAGGTGCCCGGGGACGCGCTGGGCTCGCCGGGCGGCGGCGGCGGCAAGGGCAGCACCGCGCGAGGAGGCATCGGCTGCCGCTCCCGGCCGGTCCCCCAGGGCGGCCGCATGGCGCTGCTCAGCTCCCTGGCCCGGGGCCGGGCCCCCGCGCACAGCCACAGATGGTCAGCGAGCAGCACGGTGAAGAAGAGCAGGGACGCCAGGGACAGTCGCCATCGCTGCGCCCGCTCAGAGTCAGCGCAAGGTTTGTCGCTCGGCCTGGGAGCCCAGCAGCAGCAGCAGCAGCAGATAGTCAGCGCGGCGGCGTCTTTCCCGGGCCACATCCAAGCGCCCCTGAACATATTTCGGGGGAGGGGTCCGGGCTGGAGAGATCAGGCAGGCGCGAGGCCGGACGGCCGTCACCGGCGGGCGAGCGGGCTGAGCGCCGCTCGGCGCTCCTCAGCGCCGTCCAGGCTCTACCTCGGTGGCTGCATGGTGAAGCAGGCCGGCCGGCTCCGGGGCACCGCTCAGGCCAGAGTCGCGGGGTGCTCTCCTGCCGTCCCCGCGCTCCTCCCGCGCTCCCTCTCTCGCAGCCGGGGCGCCGCCGCCCGGCCCGCTAGGCACTGCCCGGCGTCCCGGCGGGGGGCGGTGCGGGGCACTGGGGCGGTGGCGGCTGCGGCGGCAGCGCCGCACTCCTCATAGTGTCGGGCCCCTCAGCTGCCCTCCGCTCCGCGCCAGTCCACTCCGCGCCGGCGGCCGCCCGGCTCACACTCTGTTCTGGCCGTCTCGGCTCGGCGCAGCTCTGCGCCCCTCAGCGCCGCCGTGCGGGCCCGGCCACCGCGCTCCGCTCGCTCGCCCCGCGCCGCGCCGCTCCCGCCCGCCCGTCAGCCCGCCCGCCTGCTGCCTGCTCCTCGCCGCTCCCTGCTTCGCTCGCGCCCTCCTAGGCCCGCCGGCCGGCCCACTGCCCGGTCCTTCGGGCTTCGCTCGTGCTCTGGCCGTTCGTCCGGGCCGGTCCCGGGCCGGCTCCGCTCCGGCTCCGAGCCTGCTGCTCCCGGAGTTCCGGCTCGGGCGGGCCACCTGGCTCCCGGCGGCGCCACAGGCGCCGGACGGCGACACGGGGCTTCACTTAGTGCGCCTCTCGCTTCCGTCTCCCGTTAGCACCGCTGTGGCGGCCGCCGAGCCGCACGGCCCCGTGGCTCCCGCTGGCCATGCCCCCTCAGTCTGTCGCCATCTTCCGCTGTGCGGAGAACACCTTGAGAGCCCGTGTGCGAGTGTGTTTGGGGGGGAGCGGGGCGGAGAAAGAGGCACTGAGAGGAGGAGGGAGCGGGACTGGGGCCCCGACTGCGCCTGCGCCTCAGGACTCGCCGCCGCCCCCACCCCCCCCCCGCCACCAGCCCCCGCCGGCCGCAGCCTGTGCTGTTTGGGGATGTTTCCAGTCCACCCCCAACTCCATTCACTTCAGCGCCTCCGTTCATCCGCCCGCTCCCCGCGTGCACACGCCACACGCTGAGTCCCAGGCCCCGGAGCTCTCCCTCCCCCGCCCACTTGGGCGCCCGCCTTCCTCCCCAGGGCGGCCTCTCGCTCCCCCCTGAGGGCTAGGGGACTTCTGAGGCTGATTCTTAGTGGCAGGAGGCAGGAGGCTTCTCCTTAGCGTCTCGCTGCCTCCTTGGGTCGCCTCCTCCGTCCCCGTGACTAGGCGATGCTGGAACCGGCTGCGGATCGGACCAGTCCCGTGTCCCTAACTCAGCAGTCGCCCTCACTGCCCTGTCCGAGGCCAAGGCGGCCCCTGGTGCTGAAGGACAGCTCCCAGTTCGGCTGCCGCAGAGGACCGGGCTCAGAGAGCTCCCTAGAGGGGGCAAGACGGTGGGCTAAGGGTGGGTAGTAGAGATAGGGTGTCGTTTCTGCCCTTAGTAAGATTTGCAGCAGCCTCTCCCCCTTCCTAGCTTCCTGGCTCCCCCTACAGGCTGCTGAGAATAGCTGAGAGAGAGTTAGGGAAGCTGCGCCGCCCGGATGGAACCATGTGCTTGGGCCTTTACAGAGTCACATGGCACTAGGAACTCAGACATACAAACGTCCTGCCACGCCACTAACCTTGTTTGGATTCCACCAAATCTCGGACTGGTCCCGTTGTCTACTTCCTTTCCTCACTCCCTCCCACTCCCAGTAACTCTCCCATTCAAATTTTTAATCAACCATTACCAGTAAAAAATGTGTTAATATTAAGACTAACAGCAATAAAGAAAATTGCCTTTATTGAGCATATACTAGGTGCTAGGTTACTGCTCTAGGTACCTTACAAGCATTAGTTCATTTAATCTTCACAACAATCTTATGAGATAGGCACTAGTGTTATCTTCATTTATGTATGAGGAAGCTGAGGTTTAGAGTGGTTAAGTTGCCTAAGGCCCCAGAGCTGATAACTGATGAAGCCAAGGCAGAAACCCAGGCAGTCTGGCTCTAGAGCTCTCTTAACACTCCAGGAAAGCCCCGGAAAAATGAAGGGGTGGAAGACACAGCCCTACCTTAAAGGAAATCATTGTCTATAGAAGGAAAAGAAAGCATGAAAGTTGGCTAGTGGGAGGATTCATGGGCTGGAGACTTGGGTTCAAGCAATAGTTCTACCACTGAGCATAGCATGTGTCCTTGAGAGTCCCTTCTTTCTCTGAGTCTTGGTTTTCCCCTGAGTAACATGAGGGGATGCCAAGGGCTAAATGAGATGGGTGGGAATCATTAGCACTACTCGGAGTGGGCTGGGGTGGGTGAATGAATGGCTTCTGGAAGAGTGAAAATTTGAGCTGGTTCTTAAAGAAATATCAGGATTTGGGTGGGGGATGGGAAGGGCGTTCCACTTAGGAAGAATGCAGGTGAATGTTTCAGGGACAAGGAGGAGCCCTGTATAGTTCTGAGGCCACAAGTGTACAGTTTGGATGTATTGGTGGTGAGAGCTTATGGGGAAGGGAGTAGAGGGATATGAGACAAGGAACAAATCTGTCAGGCATTTGAGAGGCCTATTCATTCATTATGTTCCAAATACTATTCTGGGGACTAGGTGGGAATATACTAGGGAACTAGGTAGTCATGGCCCCACCCTTGAAACGCTCATAGTTGAATTAGGGATGCAGATATTTTAAATAAGTTGCAACCCAGTGTAATAAGGATAAATATGAATGGGAAGAAGGAGAGGTTTTCCTCCCATAAAGGAAAGGACCGATCAGCTCTGCCAGCTTCCCTCAGAGACAACTTTGCACACAGCCACATGAGTTGGGAACATTCATTCATTCATTTGACAAACATCTTTTGAGGATTTGTTATGTTCCAGACACTGTACTAGGCATCAGAGATATGGGCATGAGTAAAATATGTGTCTTAGGCTGAAGGAGTTCAGTTGAAGTCTTAGGGATGAGAAAGAATTGGCTAGACAGATAGGAGAGAAGGTGGTGTGTGAAGGATGTCCCAGTCAGAGGGAATGTCATGTGTAAAGGCCCAGGAGCAAAGCCAAGAATGGCATGTTCAGAAACCTGCAAAGTAGTTCATTGTGAATAGGTGTAAAATGGGAGCACTGCCAAAAATGAGGCTGAAGATTTGGCAGGAGTCAAATCATGAAGGGCCCTAGGTGCTGTGCTAAGTAGTTTGGACTTTATGCCAGGGGTACTAAGAGCCACAGAAGAGGCTGAAAGGTTTTCAGCAGGAGGTGACACAATCAGATGTGTATTTTTAGAAGATTCATTTGGCTGCAGGATGGAGCTTGGGGAGGGGCAGGGGGAGACTTGAGGCAGGGAAACTGGTTAGGAAACTGGTTAGTAGTTCAGATTAGAGGTGTTAAGGGCTAAGCAAAGCAGCAGTAGGTAAAGAGAATAAATCCACATGGGAGGGAAATGACAGAATTAAAAGGACCTAGGACTGGCCTAGATGCAAGGAATAAAGTAGGGCTTGAAGGAAGATGAAACCAAAGGGTTCCAGTTAGTGACACTGGCAGGACTGTCCCTGCATCCCTAGGAACTGTCTCTCCAGAGCCATTCTTTGTTTAGTCCTTGGAGGGTTCAGTGTTCTGTTAAACAAAGAAGGCTAATCTCTTACAGATACCTGATTGGGAGCTGATTGGCAGGGCCACTGTGATTGACACCCTTGAATGCCAATGAAAGAGCAGCCTGCCAGGCCTAGGCTATCAGCTCTGAGCACCTCTGGAGCTTTCTGTGAGAAGTCACTCAGGCAAGACTCCCTCCCTCCTCCAGCACACACACGGTGAAAAGTGTCTCACAAAGGTCCATTTATCACAGGAGCACAATATAACAATAACTTACCTACACAGTACCTGCCTCACACAAAGGAGAAGTGGTAGCATACCAGAGGTCAGAGGAAGCTCTCATTCCCTCACTCTAGATTATACAAGAAGTTGGGATTGGGGAAGGGAAGGCATTGGCCTCTAATCAGGCCCCTGCAGCAGAATAGCCGGCGGGAAGGGAGTCTGCTGCTCCCTAGAACTGGTGGACCCTGGCCAGTCTTCTTCCCAGCCCTTTTTCTCTACCTGCTCCAGGTGAGCAGAGGCTAAAGCTGGAGGCTAAGGATGGGTCACTTCTGATGGGACCCAGACTGCCCAGAAAGAGTGATAGAGTGTCCCCAAACCTGGTAGGGGAGAGACAACTTGGAGTAGAAGAGGAAGGGAAGGTTTTCCACTGTGAAATTCTGACAAATTAGGGAGAAGAAAAAGTGGGAGCCATTTAAAGAGACCAAATGGTTACACAGGGAACTTTCTGTTAAGCTCAGATCTTAAAAGTTCATAGGAAAAGGATGGAAACAAGAACTTGCAATTAAGGCTGAATCTAAGAACCTGTAAGAAGAGTGTCGGGATGGCTAAAGCACAGCTTGAACTACAGCTTGTCAGGCTTTGCCTAGATCCCACCTTCTGTCCCCACTCCTTCCTTCATATAGTTGGAATACTTGACCTCCGACCTGCAGGCTACATCTGTCCTAAGAGAGGAAGGATGGAAGTAACCTCATCCTGTATACTGGAACTTAGCATCAAGTAACCCCTCTGCCACTGGTCTGAGTCTTATCTCAAGTTTCCACTGAGCCTCTCTCTCATTGCTCAGTTTAATTCCTGGCCTCCTCTCTCCTTGTCCTGTGTCTTAGTCCCCCATTCAGTGACCCTGCCTGACCACCAGTACCCTATCAAGTCCTAGGTCCAGTATGCTCTTTTAGTCCACCATCTAGGGAGAAATTCCTGACCCCAAGTCCCTACTCAGTGGCTGAGGCCTGTTACTGGTGGACTCCTCTGACCCCAACTGTATTTCTAAGTGTCTAAATTCCTATCTTCATGTTAGCCCTCCATTTGGATCCCCAGTTTTCCTATATGGTAACCCTATGTCAGTTAGGTATGCTTTTGGTTTCAAATAACAGACAGCTCTACAATAATGGCTATCTAAGATAAAGGTTTATTTGTCTTGTGTACCAAAAATTCCCTGAATACATGGTCTAAGGCTGATATGGCAGTTCAGCAATGCCATCAACGCCCTGGATTGGCTTGGCTTTTCTCGTCTTGTCTTGTCTTGTCTTTCCTTTCCTTTCTTTTCCTTTCCCTTTCTCCTTAAGATTTATTTATTTGTTTGTGTGTGTGTGTGTGTGTGTGTGTGTGTAGGTGTGTGTGTGTGTGAGAGAGAGAGTGTGAGAGCGCACAAGCAGCGGGGAGAGGGGGAGTGGCAGGCAGAGGGAAAAGCAAGCTCCCCTCTGAGCAAGGAGCCTGATGTGGGACTCAATCCCAGGACCCTGGAATAATGACCTGAGCTGAAAGCAGATGCTTAACAGATTGGGCTGCCCAGGCACCCCAAGGCCCTGGCTT